CGAGACAGAGGACGCCGCGCGGCGGGTCGTACCAGGCCGCGTCTTACGAGGCTGCCACCCCCACCATACCCCGACGTCGTGATCCACGTTATCCACGGCGCCCTACCCCGAGGCCTCGAGCACGTGCTCCGCCTGCGCCCCAAGGCCTTGAAAGTCCCGACCCGTCGTGCCAGTCCGTCGGCGAGTCTGGGTCCGCGGAACGCGACGAAGGGAGTCTTGACAGTCCAGCTTGCACGCGATGGCCTTCGCTTCAGCTCGGCTGCCGCCAGTCGCTGCGCGGGCAAGAGTGGCGTCGCTGTGTTTCTTCTTGGAATGCACTCCGCGTGTGTCCAAGACGAACGAGATGGCGGCGTGGACGTCTTCTCTGTCGCTGCGGTCTGCGGTCGGATTCGCGGTGGCGACTGCCGGCCGTTCCTTCCGCGGCCCCAACATCGATGGTTCCGACTGCGATGGGCCGCGCGGAGCTCCAAAATGCGATCGGGCATGTCGCCGAGCAGCGGGCACCGCATATTTCATATCGGGACGAGCATGTGGACTCGTTCAAGCGCTGGGTGGAGCGGCGCTCGCACCAGGCACGGCCCGCCGCGGAGACGCAGAGGGCCACGCTGATCGAGGCCACTAACAACCGGGCGGGCAACGCAAGGGAAGACGAGCCCGCTAGGCGATGTGCCTTGCATGAGTGACTGCGCGGCTGGAGGTCGCACTGATTCATGGTGCCGCCGAAGATGCTGCCCACTTCCGGGCTGGGTGAAGCTCTGCACAAACATGTGGAATCAGATCCTGAACCCCCAGATCGTGAATTTCTCTTTGTTATAGCGGCGCAGCATGAAACCCCTTCGCATCAATATCACGAGGCGTACGCGGCTGATGATGTGGATAGAATGGAAGATTCCTACGAGGAGAACTATGTTGTTCAAGGGCCTCTCGAAGTGATTGTCTCTCGCTCCGATGGGGGATTGCAGGAGATTCCGGCTCCGCGCCCCCCGCATCCTGTTCGGCTTCGCGATCCCCGACCCGGCGCCGTGCAAGAGTCTTCCATTCCAAGGACCATCAATGACGATAACACCATCGACGGCGACTTCCATGCAGCTTCCTTCGAGCCCCTCGTCGCGCCCCCCCGTGGTCCTGAGCACCCAGGCCCCGCAGGCCGCCGCTGCGGCCCAGCGCGCCATCGCCACCGAGGAACCTCGTGGAGAGGACTCGCTCCACGAAGGCTTTGGGTCCTCCTCTTGTGCGCCAGGTGGAGCGCAGATACGCATCCGTCGATGGCCCCACCCGCCTCTTTTTCTACGCCAGATCCTTCTGAGCCTCCTCCCGCCCCGCCCTGGGGCAGGATGGTGCTCCCGGTTTGTAGAAGTCCGCTCCTTGTTATCGTAGTGTTCGCGTACTTTTGGGGCGCAGCACGGCAGCCCTGCTGCAAGTAATCAGAGCTTTAGGGCGCAGCCGCCAGCAGAAGGCCACAGTTGCCTCAAGCAGGTCGCAGATGTGGCCCGATATGTGGCAGCGTGCCTCTGGTCCCCGGGGCCTCCTCCTCCTCCTCCTCCTCCTCCTCCTCCTCCTCCTCCTCCTCCTCCCCCTCCTCCCCCTCCTCCTCCTCTCCCTCCTCCTCCTCCTCCTCCTCCTCCTCCTCCTCCTCCTCCCTCCTCCTCCTCCTCCTCCTCCTCCTCCTCCTCCTCCTCCTCCTCCTCCTCCTCCTCCTCCTCCCTCCTCCTCCTCCTCCTCCTCCTCCTCCTCCTCCTCCTCCTCCTCCTCCTCCCTCCTCCTCCTCCTCCTCCTCCTCCTCCTCCTCCTCTCCGCCTCCTCCTCCTCCTCCTCCTCCTCCTCCTCCCCTCTCCTCCTCCTCCTCCTCCTCTTCCTCCTCCCCTCCTCCTCCTCCTCCTCCTCCTCCTCCTCCTCCTCCTCCTCCTCCTCCTCCTCCCCCTCCTCCCCCCCTCTTCCTCCCCCCCCCCCCTCTTGCACAGGCCCGACGGGGGCTCCGGCCCTACGGGGGCCCTCTTCCTTCCTCTTCTTTTCCTCTCGTCATTGGTCCTCCTGTCCTCGCCCCCCCGTCCCCTTCAAAAAGAGGACGGGAGTTCGAACCCCCCCCCCCGTGGGCCGGCGCCGGCGCCGGCGGCGGCTGGCGGCGGCGGGGGGCGCCGACAAGGACGACGATTCAACAGGGGGGTGGCGGGGTTCGAACCACTCTCCCCTCCCCCTCCTCCATGCTGGCGCCGGCGACGGGTGGCGGCGGCGGCGGGAAGTGTCGACGACAACGACGACGATGAGCACGACGACGACGATGACGACGACGACGACGACGGCGACGGCAATGGCGACGGCGACGACGACGGCGACGGCGACGACGACGACGACGACGACGACGGCGACGACGACGACGGCGACGACGGCGACAACGACGACAACGAAGACGACGGCGACGGCGACGGTGATGACAACGATGACGACGAACACGTCGACGATGACGACGACGATGACGGCTACGATAACGATGACGACATCGACGACGGCAGCGACGACGACTACGGCGAGCACGACGACGACGACGTTGACGACGACGAAAACAACGACGGCGACGACGGTTACGACGGCGACGACGACGACGACGGACGCCCCGACGACGACAGCCACGACGACGACGATGACGACGACGACGACGACAACGACGGCGGCGACGACGACGGCGACGACGACGACGGTGACGACGACGACGAAGACCACGACGACGACGACGACGACGACCACGGCGGCGACGATGACAATGACGACGACGACGGCGACGACGACGACGACAAAGACGACGACGACGACGACGACGACGACGTCAATGACGACGACGGCGGCGGCGGCGGCGACTTCGGCATCACGACAGCGGCGTCGACGACGACGACGAGCACGACTATGACGACTGCGAGCGCGACGACGACTACAACTAGCACGATCGCGACGACGTCGACGACGACGACGAAGACGACGACCACGACGACTACGACGACGACGACGAAGACGACTCTGGCGGCAGCGACGACGACGCCGACGACGACAACGCCTACGACGACGATGACAACGACGACGACGACATCGACGACGACGACGTTGACGGCGACGCCGACGACGACGGCGACGACGAAAATGACAACGACTAGCACGACGACGACCACGTTGAAAACGACGATGACGACGTCGACGACGACGACGGCGACGACGACGACGACCAGGACAACGGCGACGATGGCGATGACGACGACGATGACGACGGCGGCAACGACGACGACGGCGACGACAACGACGGCAACGTCGGCGACCACGGCGACGACGACGACGACGACCAACGGCGACGACGAAGACAACGACGACCACGAGCACGGGGACGACGACGGCAACGACGACGACGACAACGACGTCAACGACGACGACGATAACGTCGACGACGGTGACGACGACGACGGCGACGACGTCGAATGCGACAGCGACGACAACGAAGATAACGACGCCGACGACGACAACGGCGACAACGACGACGACGGCGACGACGACGACGACGACGTCGACGACGGCAACGACGACGGCCGCGACGACGATGGCGACGACGACGACAACGGCGACGACGACGAAGACACGGACGACAACGATGACGACGGCGACGACGACGACGACGTCGACGACGGCAACGACGACGACGACGACGGCCACGACGGCAAGGAAGACCTGGACAACGACGACGGCCGCGACGACGACGACGGCGGTGACGACGACGACGGCGACGACGACGACCACGACGACGACGACGAATTCGGCCACGACGATGACCACGACAACGACTATGATGGCGACGACGACGACGATGACGACACGACGACCACGACTACGACCACGACCACGACTACGACCACGACCACGACGACGACCACGGCAACGACGACGGCGGCGACGACGACGATGGCGACGGCAAAGACGACGACGACGTCGACGGCGACCACAAAGACGACGACGCCGGCGACGACGGGCACGACGTCGACGACGACGACGGCGACCACGGCGACGACTGTTACGACGACGCCGACGTCGAGGACCAACGGCGACGACGACAAGCACGAGGACGACCATGGATGACGACGACGACGACGACATCATGACGGCTTTCACGGCGTTGACGACGACGACTTCGGCATCACGACGACGACGACGATAACGACGGCAAGGACGACGGCGGCGACGGCGACGGCGACGACGACGATGGTGACGACGACGGCGACGGCGACCACGACCGCGACGAGCACGACGACGACGACAGCGACCACGACGACGACGATGGTGACGACGGTGACGACGACGACAACGACGACTTCGAAGACCACGACGACGATGACGACGACGACGACGACGACGACGACGACGTCAACGACGACGGCGACGACGGCGACGACGGCGACGACGACGACGACGACGCTGGCGACGGCGACGACGACGGCATCGGAATCCGCGGGAGGCACACGACGCGACGCGCAGGGTTTTTGTCGTCAATATTCTGAAACTCAAGGCCGGGGACAGAGGACTAGAAGCGACCTCGTCGCCGTTGCCGTTGCCGTCGTCTTCCTCCCGGGCAGCATCGCCGCGCCGCCGCCTGTTGGCGCTGCGGGCCGCCGCCGCCCTGGCGCCACGGGGTGGGGGTGGGAGTGTTCGAACCCCCCCCCTCCTCGCGCCGGTGGGGGGGATTCGCACCCCCACCCTGGAAGGGGGGGGGGAGGGGAGTCCCCCTGGTTTTGTCCGACGGCGCCGAATGTTCGGGGGGGGGGGGTCCCAGTTCAAGCGCGCCGCCGAAGGTTCCCAGGGCAAGGAAGCGTTCGTGGCACGCGCTCCCTCGTGGATTCGCGCAGGGGCGGGCGGAGGTCCCGAGCCCGACGCCGGGGGGAGCAGGTGCAGGAGGAGGAGGAGGCCGAGGGGGGCCGGGACACACGGGCGGGAGGAGGGCCACGGCGGAAGGGCCCCGACCCAGCGTATAGGCCTTCCTGAGCTCCCAGTTCGGCGCCGACAAGCAGGCGCCGCCATGGGGGACCCTCGCACCGGAGAGGCTGATGAAGCGCTGGCGTGCAGAGGGGGGCGGCGCGAGGGGAAGGGGCCTCCGAAGAGGCCAACCCGCCTCTCCGAAGCCGCGCTTTCTAAGAAACCCCGTTCTGAAGCCTCCAGAAAGGAGAGGCCGGCCATTTCTCAAGGGCGCCCTCGGAGGCACGAAGTTATTCGCGCTTCGCGGTTCGACTCCGATTCCTCCTCGTCCTCCTCTTCTCCCTTGGGGGGCGGCGCGAGAGCGTGAAGTTGGTCGCGCTTCGCGCAGCGCGAAGCGCGAAGCTAGGCGCCCCTGAGAAGAGACCGGCCATTTCTGGGAAGCCCCTTGCTTGCATCCGATTTGCGCGCACCGCCAGGGCATGGCCGAATAGTTCCAAACCAGCCTCCGCAGTCTTGAAAAGTCAGGACGCCTTGTTTATCCTGACCTTGGGTCTGTGGTATGCCCTCGTCAAGCCCTGAGGAACCCAACAAACAGTCCTCGGATATGATGGGTAGCGTCAGTGTCGAGAGCAGCAGAGTCTCATCTTTCAGAATGATCAGGACGTTCGGAGGGCAAAGGCTGCTCTAGCCCCATCTGGTAACAAGGTGTTCTGGCAGAGAGCCAGAAACACGCGCACTAGGAATACATGGGTGCACGGGATTCGCCGAGTTGCTTCTGACCTACAGTTTCGGAGCCTTGCTAAGAAGGAGGGGACCAGTGCGGGGACAATGCGGGGCTGATAGAGGGACCGGGAAAATGGTATGGGGTAAAACTTAGGTGCCCAAGAGGAGGAGGAGGAGGAGGAGGAGGAGGAGGAGGAGGAGGAGGAGGAGGGGAGGGTGGTAAAGCGGGAATTCGACTGTTTTGCCTGCCAATTCGTGATTGCATTTAGGGGTCTTACTTTTGATATCCAATCGGATGGGCTGGCCGGGGTTTTGCCTGGTAGATGCCTCGTGGGCGTCCTGAGTGTCGTGTGCGGGGGGGGCAGAATTTCGCCTGGTGTGCACCCGTTGGCACCTCTAGTGCGCCCACGTGTGGTGGGTGGGCCAGGGTTTCGCCTGGTGTGCAACTGTGGGCGCCCAGTGGGCGTCTCTTACAATTATTCACGGGCTTACGCCGCGCCGCCGACCCCTTGGGGGTGTAGTAGATGCCGTCCAGTGGGGGCCTCTTGTCAGCTTTGTGGGGGTTCTGGGGATCTCCTGTGGTCTTCTTGGGGCCGAGGGCTCGGAGTATCCGATCGGGTCTTTGGCTGGTTTTCTTTTGGAGTTGGTCTTGGGCGCCTCTGTGGGCGTCGTGGAGGTCGCAGCTGCCGTCGTGGGGCCGTTGTGGGGGCATTGCGTGTCCTCTACGAGCGTCGGGAAGTTCAAAGCGCGAGATTTTCCCCAAACCGCGCACAATGCCCACATAGGCCCGGGTTTGTCGTTGGTCGGGTAGAGCAGGGGGTGTATATCCAGAAGGAATGCTGACACAGGTCCCAGCAACAACGCCGCAGTCGGTCTCCCACATTCGCACCCGATCACCCATCGTCCATCCGAATTATGAAGCCGTACCATCCCAGCTCAACCAGTGCGTGAATTATGCTTGTACGTGTATCGAAGACGCCTACGGCGAATCACCGCCGCCCCCTGCCTTTTTGGAAGCGCCTGCGTGGCCGAAAGTTGGGTTTGAGCTTGGCCAAGCTATCGGGCCACGCGTTCCCCGAATGGGTTTCGAAAGCCTTCTGGAACACGGAGTGGGGCGAGCTATCGGACCAGGTGATTTCCGAGCTTTCGGGCCTCCTGGAGGACGTCTTGGAGGGGTCTTGGGCTGTCTTGGAGGCCTCTGGCGGGCCTGTTGGGCAGTCTAAGGACATCTTCAGGCCATCTGGGACCGTCTTGGTTGCATCTTGATCTTGAGGCCATCTTCGCC